GACGGACCCCTTCCGAATTATAAAACTGATGGCAAGTTCGAAAGGAACCAATAAAAGAGACAGTACTCGTCTTGAACGCAAAACCAAGACTTGTCAAACTCGTCCGTGGTTCACACTTTTTATTACAGGCTCTTACGGTTGGCGAAGTAGAATAAAACATTGTGTGGTATCTTTTACGTTTTTAATTACAGAAAAAATCTGTATTGTACGTACAGACATGCGTGTACAGACTGTCTTGTTTATTTTCAAATAAAATACAGTTGCAAAAACACTGTAACCGCAATAAAGCATGTCTTCTTTGCGCTTTAATTTGTTTGCACTAGCGTCGAAACCCAATTATTGACGTTCTTCTGTTCTTGCTATTTAGCGGCAAAATGTAATTGAGTTATATCTTTTCGAGAATTCGTGAACTACACCCATTGCCGTTATGAATCTATTAACTGAAATTATCCCATGATCTTGCTACTTTCACAAAACTTCCTAAAGTGTATAACTAATATATTTTCTTAACGAATACCAAAAGCATATTACTTATGTAGCTTTAGATATTTGAAAATTCCCTTCTTCAAAGATGTTTAAAACGATTATTCTGAGAAGAAGAAGCATTGTTTTTAATCTGTCTATATTAATAGAACAATTTTGATTTTTAATAGTACATATTTGGAAATATTAATTCAAAATTTTCTGAAGTATATCATCTTTTTTTCGTGTTTTCTGTTAATGTCTTAAGTTGTAAGGCGTTTTTCTACTTATTTTGAGTAGATTTGACCGATGGTTGTATCTGACCACCTACTTTCAAATTAAAGCGCCGTTATTCAAAGTGAAATTTATTCAACATAAATTGCAAGTTAAAATTTGAACACTTTATCATTTTTAGGTCATTCATAGTATGACACCTCTTTCCCATATTATGCATAATTCTTAAAAATAAATGCTACATTCTAAATTAATTCTATCCTCTTTTTTTCAAGACTAGCGTCTTAAGAGACAGCGAAAGCTATATGTTTTTATTTATGGAAGTGGAAATGGTTGTCTGTAAAGAATGAAAATATTTAGACCGGTTTTCTTCTGTGTTGTATTCAGCGAGGGTCTGGCGTGGCATTTGGGGTGTGTGTCGTGTTTGACGTTTTTCTGCCTTATTTGGTACCTTTGGGTGCGGAAGTAGCTGTTTTATTTTGCAGCAAAACACGCCTGTTGTATGGAGTGTGAACATGACCTGCATACGGCTTCCAGAGGAGAAACTGTCTGGACAAAGGCACATGCTAATGTATACGCAATGCTTCTGTAAACTATTTGTTCCTTAAAATGGCTAGAGAATGCTCTTACAAGCAAGGTCACACAGACGCCCCGAGATAGGCTCCCTGTTGCTCCAAACTAGTTAGTCTGGCTCTTTCGGCATCTCGCCAGCGAACGCTTTTGTTGTTGATCTTTTTGCTCAATAATCTGGAACTGTGCATTGATTCACATACCGTTTGTTGCATAAGAGTATAATTTTTCTTAAGAACATCGCACTGCTGATAGTTATACTTAATAACAGTGTATCTAAGAATGTGAATAGTTGAGAAATACCTTTGATGTAATTATAAGTAAAAGGCTCAATATTGAAACAATATTATTTATTGGCTTCTGGTTGTGGATATGACGATTTTCCCCGTGATTTGCAATCGATTCCAGTGAGTTGTTGATCATTTTAGCTGATGTGAATGATAACTGAGTGCAAGATAACATTTGAAATGGCCATGGAATTTTCGAATGGTAGTCGAACTTAAAAGTAACGGCGGGTAAGGGTTTATTATAGGATTTCAAGATTTCGAAAAGAGATATCCGAACATTTTCATAACACTTCTGTTATTTTATTTTGTCAAAATTTGTTTCTAGCATTTTCAAACTAGTGTGTTGACAATGATAGAGAGACCGGGGCTGGTTGACACTCAGATTCCAACATCGTAAAGATAGCTTCCATAAGCTCTAGCTTTACGTCACGAATCGCTCACGACCTAGCGAACTTCTCTCAGAAGAGTCAATATGGTCAGCGCTAAGGTGGTGGAACCGTGTTTCAAATGAGTTTTAGCGCTTAGGGATTAATATTTCGGTTGTTCATTGATTGTCGCTAGTCATATTGAGAAGGAAAGATTTTTTCCTCTCTCTTTCTCGAAAACGATTTTCGTTATCTTTATTCACGCCTAAGCTAAAAGCACCGGTAGAGACAGTTAAGAACATTTTAGTACTTTTCTCAAAAGTCTTCGGCTACAGCATTGAAATCTCTTTCTAAACAGATCTATTGCCCAACATTGGCCAATTTTAATTTGTACTATTTTTTATTAATTTATTTCCAAACAGCAATTTTGTTCTGGCCTCGTACAAATTGTAATATTTAGGTAGTGTTCAGATACTTGACTCAGTAATGACCATTCGATATTCTACCTCTTGAGTGTGTGTGTCCAAACGTGTCCAAGAAAGAACCGATCTTGGGGCATTGTTGCAGGTCCAATATTAATAAGGTATTTCCAGCTTATTTTAATATAAAATAATGGGAAGAAATAAATAATCTTCTATATAAATATATTTAGGCAATTATTATATTTATGGCCAATTTGGGACATATTTTTTCGGGCCAAAGAAATAGAGATTAAGCCAAGGTTTTGGATACCAGCCTGTGACTCTTTGCAAATAATGTGGTACAAAAACTGTGTGAAATCATAGGCATCAGTGCATATCATAGTAATTGACTTTAGCGGCTTGGTTGTTTATTGTTTTCCATATCCCGTATGTGAAGGAGCACGTGCGTAAATGCCACAGAGGGATGAAATAGTTGTCTACAGTTGTCTATTACCTTTCGTAAAGACCTTAAACACTATGTGTTTCACTGTGTAATGAATAGTCCAAGAAATGGACCTTCTGATACGTTTTAAATAAGTGACATAAGATAGTAAGAGTGCTTACAAGAATGTAAAAACTTACGATTCTCCCTCTTTTATTTATCCATTTATATAGCGGCTCCGAAGTGTCTTAATTACTCTAATTGACGGAACAGAAGCCTTTTCAAATGCGTTGCATAGCGGATAGGGTCACGTTGTGGCGACCTGACGAACATGTAAGTCCATAACCAGGGGGTGGTTACAGTTTTAATTCCAGCTCCAGTAATGTTTTAATAATTCGCGATTCAATAATTCCTCTCGCCAGGGGACTCAGTTGTGACTTTGGCCCTCCCACTTCTGGAGGAGGTTCGCAAACGCCTGCCTGATTGCCCTCACGTCGATGTGTGGAATCCCAATAATTTTTCATCATTTTTCGCCGATACAGAAAAGTGACGAACCAGACTGAATGTAATTTGTTCGAAACAATGAGGCATGCTTAATTCTATGCTACAGATTCCGTCCACTTTAACTGCCGCGCTCTTGGTGTCACTTTTTGGAACTTTCTCTGGTTTGCTATACGTGTGGTGCGATTTGTTCCTTTTATACAGTTTCGTGATCGTTCTAAAGTGTTGAATTGTAATTTGAAGTGATTGTGTAGGGAGAAAAAAACAACATTTCCTTCTAATTTCTCGTTTAACGCTCAGCATTAATATAACCTAATTTAATTTGTTAGCATAGATGCGATGTGCAAATGTTTGATCTTCAGCGCTTTTTGCGGCGTCCAGAGGAAATATATTCATCACGATTGCATGCAAAAATCCAAATAACCGTGTGTAACTCACAATCTCGTTCATCCAGTTTCGACACGTAAATAGAGTGTAGAATGAGCATCCCTTTTCCATCAATTTTCTGTTTACAAGAATGATGGAAAATGGAAGGAAGAAGCAGGAAGGAAGTGCAGTGGAATGACGGGGAGAGAGACGTCAGAGCTTCGTTGCTGGCCACCCGGGGGAGGGGGGTCCTTGTGAGTGCTGTCTCGTCGGGGCGAGTGACGCTCTATTCACAAGAAATTGTGGATGAGTCCTTCTCTCTCTCCACAACTTTCGAACCCAGAGAGGAGAGTATGTGCATTCGCATCACTAGGAGGGATTTGGGGAATATAAGAGTGGCTGCGTTCCTCTGTTAATACTGACGCCAGTCCGCAGGGGAGGGATGTGAGAATGTGGTGTGAAACCAGATGCTCATCAAAGACTTGAAAAGCCTCGGGTACTTAGCTGTGTGTCCACAGAACACAGTCAATACCCGCTCTCTTAGTACTGTTAATACCCACCGACTCTCACAGCATAATGGTTACAGCGGCAGCCACGAGCGGCCAGTGTCTGCGCGTTCTACTCCGGACTTGAGCATGAATGTTGCTGTAGTCTTGGAACAGTGAGGGGCCTAATCCAACCCTAAGTAGCACCCGCAGGAGCACCAGAACTTTCCCAGTACTTTCCCTATCGAATGTTATGTGGTGATTGTATGCGTGCCAGAATTGTAAGCGTCTTAATAGACATACAGAACACTACATGAAAATAAACTGACCGCTACCAAACCGCCCATGTCTATAATGGAATTGAAGAATCGAGACGGACTTACGAGGCTTTAGACTGTTCTCGGCCGCAATGGGCTTTCGAGCCACAGCGGAATTTCTGCCTGAAAGCTAGGGTCAAAGTTTTGTACGATGTAAAAAAGCAGTAGGATTAAAGTAGGGCAAGGTACGTAAGCTCTTAACGGAAGTTTAAGTGACGTTAAAATTCGCATTGATGTTCAATGCCTCCCCACTCTCCTTAGCTGCGTTGACCGGCGTCCGCCAAGGGCGACCATTTAGCCGCTGGTGTTCCGCAGGGATCGTATGCGACCAGAGCCAGGGCGGGCGGCGCGTCGGCCCGCCCACCGCGCGCCGCTCCCACGCGTGCCGCCTAATTAGCAGTTCTCGTGAGAGAGCGGCCGGACAATACGCGGTCCGCGGAGGCCTTGTTGTGCAAATGGCGCGTTTGTCGGAGCGGCGTGGGGCGCCGGAGTGCGCCCCCCGTTGGCCAACGCGCTGGGAGCCGCGGCGCGGCGCCACGCTGCGCTGGAAGTCTGCCCTCCGCTATATAGCGCGCGCGTGCTCCGCGCCCGCCGCAGTCGCCCCCGCAGCCTCCGACGCAGTCGCCCCGCCCGCGCCCCGGCCATGCGTCCTTCCGCGCTGCTTCTCGTAAGTCGTCGGGCTGCCTCTCTGCGCGCGACTCGCCCTGCACGTTTTGTACCTTTTTTCTCTTGGATTACTACTAATTTTTTAGCGCGAACGTTCCTTACGGTCTTCTCGGTATGTATCCGATGACAGCAATATATGTTCATTATTAATTGGAAGATCATTTTCTGTCTTAAAAAAATCGGCATAGCTATTTTTTAAACAAAAATCGATGTAACTTACTTTTTTCTTCTTCCTAAAATTTAAAGAATTTATTCTGACTTAAATTATAACTGCAGTTGAAATAATTTCGCATCTCCCTCGCCTCCTAAAATGTATGGAACAATGTTCTCAACGTCCAGTATTTCAAAATTGTACAATTTTATCTTTTAAAACAAGTAATTACGATTAAAGTTCTTATTTAAATAAAAGCGTTGTATTGGAAATAGTTTTGCTTTTTGTTAAAGTTGTTACCGCTTGTAATCGAATCTTGAATATAGAGGATCTTTGAATGCATGATATTTAAAACATAAAAATAAGTAAAAAACGTAGTAAATAAATATTGCTATTTAGATATCGCCTTTAAAATAATGTTGAGAGGAACTCTTAGACGTTTCTTATAGTAAATCAACTCGTATTTTTTCAACTCATTTGGAATTAAACTATTTTTGTGAATACTAGATCAATAATTATTCAAAGTAAATGATACTGAAAATGGACGTTTCAAAAATTAATATTAATGAAAACTGTAGCTACTTCTGTACGTCTAAAAAATTTAAATGATTGCGTTTAATTCGAAGAATGTTCTTTCACATTCCAGTCCCGAATTCCGTATATTCTTCCCATGTCATATAACACCCTCAATCAAGATTCTTCATAGTCCAAAGTTCCTTCCCAAATGGATTTCTGGCAGATATATGCCGATTATTTTAAAATAATATATACTAATAGAGGGTAGAATTTGAAAAATATTGTCGTTATGATCTTAATAATTAATGCTTAATCTATTATCTCTAGACGTGTTTTGTAGAGAGTGTTAATTTTACCCATCATTATAATTATGTTAAGCTACTGATAATGTTATTAATTTTCTTTCATCTGCCGGTTTCCCAATTGCCGTAACCTTTGAAATATTGTCACTTTTCGAAGCTAAGTAGAGAAAACTCAGTTTCCTGATTCTATTCCAAACCCTCGAAAGCAGCTTTGATATAAAATTACAGTATGTAAATTTAAATTGTCCGACAAAGTAGACATTATGTGGAGCAAACAATAAATATTTCGTGGTGATACCTATCGCTCTAAAAAGATAAACATACGATGTAGATTTGTGTGCGACAAAACATTGATTTGTTTTTCCTGTTCATTGTCAGTGTATATTTCAGGACATATTATTATTTTGTACATTTAGTGGGTGACAGGCAGACTGATAACTTATACATCTGTGCTATTTTGTATTTAAAAATCCTGTTGCAGCTATTAATTTACTATTTTTGGGGAAAATTATGAAACAATACTACTCGTAGAAATTGGAAGAAGGAATATTCTCTTGAAACAAACATATTTAATAAATGAATAAAATTAAATTTGATCCACATTATAAATATGTTTTAAAAATATATACCTACTGTTGGAAACAAACAATATTTTCAAGAAATGTTTTTTATTGATTTAGTTTTTGGAGAAATTAAGACGAAGTGCAAGTAATTAAAATAGAAATTGCATTGTTTAAAGAACAACCATTAAATAAATAAACTAATGCGTGAATGCAATTAAATGCAAATAATTCATTTAGTGTTTTTAGTACTAACAGTATTCATTAGCAATGCATTTTTACCATTTTTCTAGACTCTACACAAATTAGTCAGCTTTCGTCAGCTGAAAATAATTTCGGATACAATCGCGATTGAATATTTTTCTTATTGTAACCCTTCTAAAGTTATTGAAAATAAATTAAAATCAACGTGCTTAATATAGAAAGAAAGTGTCTTGACATATATCAATTATGTCATAATAATCAATAATATAAAAATAGTTAATTGTTTAGACGTGTAATATTACATGTAGCCTGGCTACATGAATACCTTCATAATATCTTCGAAATACTTCAGGGTCGAAAATGACTCAGTTTTGAAGCAACAAACATTACAAGATGTAACTAAAGCTGCGTTTTACAGGTAATGTTACACATGAATGTCAAGAAATAATTAAGTAAAGTCAGAAAATACCATTTTTCGATGCTCGTGGGAATGTTTTGAATGAGCCTACAGCCCTTGACTAACTAAATTTAGGAAATGTGATCTCTAATCATTATACGAAGATATTTAGATGTAATTCCAAGTTCGTGAAGCAAACCATTGGCACCTAATCACATGTAGAGGATACACAGATGTAAGGCTACAACCTACTCGCTAGTCTTTGGTATCTTATTTTAAAATGCAGTAACGAAGTTCTGAGTAATGAGAAAACAACGTGTCTTATGTGCTTCAGTAGCATGTGCCAGGCAGCCTATTCCTCGTGTTGCTCTCGTTTCATTCTCTCCGATATGTAATGGTGGTCCCGCCCAATTTGTATATCTACCAGCGGCGGCTGCTCCGCGAGGGCTCCAGTGCGGCGCCCTCCTCAGAAAAAGCAACCTCGATAAATGTTGCGGAAAGTATTAAACTTCCATTTAAACGACTTCTTTAATTTGTGCATAAACCAGCGCAACGTTTGAGGACGAATTTAGTTTTAAGTGCCCCATTAGACAAAAAATAAATGTATGTGGAACGGGTAGCATCGTGGACTATAGCGAATCCATTCGAAGCTGGTGTACGCAAGGCAAAGGAAGCTTCAGGAAGAGTTCGGGTACCGGAAGTTGGGTGGGGACAGCGTGCTTCTATTAGGGTTTTGTTCGTCAGAGTCCGCGGCTATTAACTGAGCTAAAAATACCAACACATTCATCTAATTTCATCAAGTACTGTTTTGTTTGTTGGAAATATTTTTAATTTCTTATTTGTTTTTTTAGTTTCTTATTAGTTATTTTAGTTTGTTTTTTAGTTTCTTATTTGTGTTGTTTGTATTTCACAATTGTACCTTTAAAAGTTTCCTTAGGAACGGATTCAAATCCTAGTAAGTGCAAATCGGTTGTACTCTACAAGCCATAGTTTTCCTCGTTCAAGAAATATTTTGAAGACGTAAAATGTATGTGATAGTTCGAACATGCATGTCGCCCCTCCTAAATCGCAACCCACCGACCGCCACTGATGTCTAATGAGGGCCTCCCGATTCCCTATCTCTCCTACGCGGTCTCCTACTGTACGGCAGACTCCCCGCAACTAGTGAGTTGAATAGCCGAGGGCCTCCCTGCGCAGGCCGTCGCCGTGGCCGCCGCCACGCTGCCGGGCAGCGCCCGCGCCGGCCGCCGGAAGCTCTACGCCGACCACTACCCGCGCTACTCCTTCGGCTACGCCGTGCAGGACGACTACACGGGCGACTCCAAGGGCCAGCACGAGACGCGCAGCGGCGGCGTGGTCAAAGGCAGCTACTCCGCTGTGGAGCCCGACGCACCCGCCGCACCGTCGACTACACCGCCGACCCCGTCAACGGCTTCAACGCCGTCGTCAAGCGCGAGCCCCGGTGTGGGAGGCAGCCGCCTGTAGTGGTTGCCGCCGCCGACGAGTACTCCGCCCCGCCGAGTACTCCGCACCCGCCGAGTACTCCGCTCCGGCCGGGTACTCAGGCCGCGCCCGCGCCGCCGTCGTCGGTGGTGTACACGCAGGTGGTGGAGGCGCCCGCGCCCGCGGCCGGCGCCCGCCCTCCGCCGCCGCCCCGTGGTGTACGCTACGCCCGGCCGCCCCCGCCCACGCCACCGCCGGCGCCCATCTACGAGGAGCAGCCCGAGGCCTACGAGCAGAGGGAGCGCCGCGAGTACCGCCACCGGCCAGGCCTGCACACGGAGGCCATCACGCACGACCCGGCCGTGCACGGCTTCCGGTACTGAAAAAAGAAGTGCGTGAAATTCATGGGTCTGCAAGCGCAGATCGTCGGACTTACCGCACTTCACGTGAAGTTGAACTGTTTCTCAGACCTGTTTGGTGTGTAATATTTATGAAAGAGTGAATTGAACGAATTATCTTGTGTGGTAAATTCTTGAGAGTGAAACTGTGATTTAAAATACTCAAACTGTTACCTCCAAGTTTGTGCGAGAGTACTAGACATCTTAATTTCTAATATTTTGCGCATTCTTTACAGGGTGAATTATTGCATCCAAACACACTGACTATTACGTCATCTCTGTAGCTTACTCCTGATCTTATTTATTATTCACATCAGGTAAATCTTGTTCATTACTCTCATCATTATTCATCTCAGGAATGGCCCTCGACTGGCGTTTTGTACATATTTTTAAGTATATTTATAAACCTGTGTATTAAAAGTAATAAATTGTGAAAAAAATCTTCACCATATTTCTTAATAGTGTTACGAAAAATATGGTAATACATCATTACTTGCGTGGAAAAATATTAGTTTCCACTTTCCTACGCAACCGTACGCGTTGAAGCAAAAACGATAATTTCCATTTCCCAACTCTCCCACTCGTTTCAGTTTCGCGTACGCAACCGAGGAGAAAACTCACACATTCGTTCATAATATGTTGGCTCTTTCTCGTACGCCTTGCACATCGTAAGTTGGAGAAAATACTGGCGTCCTTGGACGATTGATATCATGTAAATGATTATTTTGCAATATTTCGTTACTGCAGTTTCGCACGCATGTCTTTCCCAGGACCTACATGGTACTTAGTGAGTATACAGTAGTTAGTACCGTGAACACTCATTAAAGCACTTTGCTCAATATTCACTTAGTCTGCATGAAATCAAGAGCGTCTCTTTTGGCATAGCCAGGGCAACGCGAAACGCTTTGCCAAATAGGTCGTGTCAAACGGTTGCCACCCTCCGACCAGGCAGAACTGCACCGTATTACATCCAAACAGGCCATTAAATCCATTGTTATACAGTCGCGCCATAAAGTGAGATAACACGAGGCAAGCGGTCACGCTCTAATTACGTTCCCAGAGCAGTTCGTGGGGACGGTGGAAAAAAAAATACGCGAGGGGAGAGCGCGCGCGCGCGCGCGTGTGACGCAGGAGTGGGTTTCGTCGCTGGCCCGCGTCCGCGCGTCGCGACGCCTGCTCGTCGCGTATGCGCGCCGCGGCGCCGGCGACGTCCGCCCCGCCGCCGCTGTCCCAACGCCACGCGCTCTCTCCACGCACGCGCGCCTGCGCCGCGCCACGCCGCGCCGCGCCAGCGCCCCAGCCCGGCCCTAGCGCGCACGCGAGCGCTTAGCGGGGCGGCCGAGCGTGCGCCTTGGTCGCCGCCGCTGGCGTCGCGTGGCCGGCGCGAAACGTCTTCGTCGGGAGATTTTCAATCGTTCAAAATAAACAACAGCAAGGAAAGCGATTCATCCCGTGTATTCTGGCAAGTGGTACTCGGAATCTGAAAACAGCACTCACAGCATTCACTTTCAACAATCAAAAGAAAGCTTGGTCCATTACATACAAAAAAGAATACCCCACAGTAAGGCAATAGAGTTAAACGGGAAAGCGTAGCCCCAAGTCTTTTTTCTCTCTATTTCAAAAGATAAATAAATTACAAAACCACGTTATGGAGTACTCGTTCCCATATCACACTTCTTGGGGAGTCTCAATAATTAAATGTATGTAATAGTTCGATTAGAAGACCTATGTTGCTTCATAGCTCGCTTTCGTAGGAACAAAAATCTTAACCAAGAAAATCAACATGAGATTCGAGCCGCATCACGTCCCGCTGCTCCACTCCACTCCACGCCACGCCACGCCACGCCATGCCACGCCACATGACGTAGCCGTGTCGTAGCGCGCACGGGAGCGCTTAACGATGCGATCGAGCGTGCGCCGCCGGCGACGCGTGGCCCGCGCGCAACGTCTTCATTAGAGGCGCCCTGGCGGCACTCCTCCCAAGGCTCGGGCGCTCAAAATGGTGACGGGGCGTGGAGGATCGGAGCGCCAGTGGTCAGAGGGGGCTCTGACACCTGTGGTTCCAACTTCGTGCTGACTTGTTTAATTGAATACATGTCTTTCGAAAGGTAGCACAGCTCTGAAGCAACATTGCAAACTACTTACATTTAATTATTGAGAAAATTAGTGGCAATGGCATCGTAAAGAAACAGGTTTCCCAAGAAGAATGATATGAGAATGCCAAAGTGTGGTTTTGTAATTTAATATCACACATACATTTTGAGCTCATCATAATGAGCATAGAACGACAAATTCAATGATACCTATTTTGCCGTATGTTCGATCAAATTGTTTTAATAATTTTGAATATTTCCTCTATTCTACATAGTAATTCGGGTTCCTACAAGGGACTTCAGAGAATGCTGATCGTGGACTTAACACGAAAATTCCAAGAGTTACTCAAAAAAGAACATTAATGAAATGAATTACGTAAAATTCAAATGTTAAAACAAGTTTTACAATTCACACATGAGCCCCATTCATTTACTCATTTATGTGAAAGCTGCATTTCAACAACAAAAATGACAATAGGAATTTAAGTTGTGTGTCTCATCCTGGAAGTTAGAAACTCATGCTAACCGCGAGGGTATACCATATCTAGAATTTGATGCCCACAATTTTACAGATCACATTATATTTTAATATAGGAAACAAATATATTTTAACCCCGAGGGATCAAAATATTAACATGCCTTCAAGAAAAGACCTCCCTTGGCAGAATAAAATTACTATGATGAAAATGTAAGAAATGGGTAAATGTTGGGTTTCCATCCTCATTACGTTGACAAGGAGAAAACGCACTCTTATGGTGTTCCTAACACCAATGCGGATTGGCAGTCTGGCTATGACTGCAACTTTCCGCGCCGCTGACTCAGTAAAATATAAATGCAGTAACTTTTCTTTTTGGCACCTTCATCATTTTCGCAATGTCTTTAATGCAAAATCTTGGCTGAGTATTGCTGGTAAATTTGCAAAGAGAGAAACGTTTTCTGAATAACGATTCAGTATGTATTCAAAAATCTTCGCACTTAATTATTATAACTTCAACACGCGTTTATGAACATCTTTAATAGTAGAGAAGTATATTAATTGCAAATAAGTATTTATATCACCAATTTGGAAAGGTGAATACCAACTTTAGAACTTTACTGATGTGATCAAAGTGAATTCAAGAAGCCTACATTATTTCAAAAAATTAACATGTAAGTAAGTTAAGGATATTTTATTCTATCGTGTGAACTTTTTACTTACAAGTCTATCATCACTTTCAATCTTTAGTAACATTTTTTCGTAATTTCTGTCTAGGCTTACTAGCCTAGTAACAACTTTATTTTCTAAATTTCTTATATATTAAATGTATAGAATTTCAATATATTAAATTTTGGTCGAAGGAAAAAGTTTAATTAGTAATTTTTACAAAATTGCAAAGCACCTATAACCAAATAGTGAATTTTAAAAATCTACTTTAGTGCCTTTCGCAAAATCATACCCCGATTAAAGGGACCATGGCCCCTATCAAAACATACAACACTAAATATTTTCTGATGCAACTTTTGGGCCCTAAGGACGCGAAGCATCTTTGTGAGTCACTTGAACGAAAAGACGACTCTCTGAAATCCGTTTCTTTTTTCTTTTTTATTCAATGGCATTTAGGTGCCCTCCACCTATTGAGGTTATTGAAGCCCATGAGTGATGATCTAACGAATACATAGATGTTTGCGATGATGTTGATGACGAGGGAAATGGTGATGGAGCAATGATGGAATGAGAGAACCCTTCGAAAAATCTGCCGAGAACACGCTCTGCCCACACAAATTCCTGGCAGAGTCAAATCCAAATTTCCTAAAGATATATTGCGTTCACTAAATTATTAGCAGAATTATTATTGATACCCAGAAAAACATTTTATTAAAATAATTGTTTTACATTAAACCACTCTTATACTACCAATATTGGTAGTGTAAATGAGTTATCCATTAATGATGGTGTCAACACCTTATTGTGAATATTAATAAAATTGTATTCAAGCTCTTGAAAGGCCTTCTGGCCGAACAGGAAACAAAGAAATAAATAATGAAAGAAAGATCAAATTCCACATGTATTGGCCGCAGTCCGAGCCACGGCTGTGGAAGTTGTGTGCGACCCCCCCCTCCTTGAGCCCGATGGCAGTGCCGAAAAAGTGCACCCCCCTTCGCCTTCCGGCTGCTGTACACGGAGCGCGCCCGCGTGGCGCAAGCCCCCACCCGCACCGCCCCGCGCCGGCGAGAGCGACCTGCCTGCGGCGCGGCGTCGCCAGCCCTAACGAGCCTATTCATTGAGGTGCGTGACTCCGTACGCGGATGTGCGTTGAGGAAGTGGATGGAAAAGGTAATGAGGTGGCTGTGAGGAGGTGTGGGAACTAAATCGATAGAACAATGGAATGGCTTTAATGCATAAGCAGACTAAGCTATTGCTTAAGGCTTCGGTGGATAAGGGCCTCATATATTTTTTTAAGACTTTTCTTCCTGGTTCATTTATGTTTAAAATATTTTTATATTATTTTTTAAACTGCAAAACCTATAATTAATTTTCATATTGGTTTTG